CATAACGCGTGCCCTTGTGTTTTCTTCTTCTATTGTACATTTTATTAGTGACTGGCTCATCATCCGACTTAAATTCTGTACACCTCAGTGACCTGATGAGCCGTCACAAGCAATACGGCGAAACGTACATGTACGTAGTGTGAAACTACTTGTTTTCGTGACGTAGTGAACTCATCCACAATAATGTCATGCATGAGGAGTACCGTTAGGCATTGGCGTTCGGTTTTGTACAATTCGTTTTCGCAAAGCTTCCCCTTTACTTTATCTCTGATATTGCTGACCCACCCAAGTTGGGTGGTGTGTTGCTTTGCTGCTTCGAATTGTAGTTAGACCGCATTGTCATGTTAACTGGTCTCGTCATCGTCCTGTAGCAGTCGGAATTCTTTGTTGCCGTTGGACGTAGCCTTTGCACATTATCGCTGCGCTCACCTTCCCCTCTTCGGTCCTACCCAACCATGAACATTGCAAGTTGGAAGGCTGTTGGCTGGCGCACTGGAGATGTGTTAGAGCTAGGTCTCAGGTCATTGATTGTCTCAGTAGCCTGTCAGTTTGCGTGCCCTGTTACCGCACTTTCTGACTGCGTACTATCTTGTTACAGTCGTGGATAGTTGCTTCATAACTCGTTTACTTGTGTTTTCTTCGTCTATTTTACATTACTCCCTATCCACCTCATTAACAGCATCATTATAATTGGACATAATATTGACCGGGTTCACTCTCACAACTGCTGCAGCTCTGCCTTGAGCTATATTGCTTCCATACAGTATTGCAGCTCTGCCTTGAGCTATATTGCTTCCATACAGTATTGCAGCTCTGCCTTGAGCTATATTGCTTCCATACCGTATTGCAGCTCTACTTTGAGCCAACTGTAGCTCTATGGTGACTTTGAGCTATCAGCAGCTCTACTGTGAGCTTCAAATTGTTTCGAAACCAGCACCCCACAATCCAAAGATGCCTCACTTGTTGACTTGTTTGTGTGAGGGAAGGGGCTAATCGTTCTGTAAACAATGCGATTGCAATCCTGACTCGACCCAGAGTATCCAAACAGACAAGCTTCCGGCGTAGCTTTTCGAATGGATCCCTGAAGGAGAAATAGTGGTGGAGCAAGCTAGATTACGCTTGTGGCAAGGCCCGGAACACTGACATTCCTCTCACAACCTTCATTATCAACGAGCAGAGCCTGGTCGGGGATAGTGAAGTTTGTGAGAGGGCAACAAGTTACGAGAAATCAGAGGCTTTCGCACATTTCTTTTCCACCAATTGCAGTGTGCAGGTCCGCGACCTTACTACGATGGACTGTACTGGACACGACATTCGCTGGCGCACCTGCACTAGCAACAGGCCACTTGAAATATATGTGGCCCACGCGAAATTGACGGTATGAAACAATGTAACAGAAAGAATGAACGATGCGCAGCACTGACGAAACTGAATTAACGGAGCAAACAGTCACTCTTCAAGCACACATGGCATGGATAGAAAGTAGCGGAGACGGGAACAGACCAGTGATGGGGACGAGTCCTGATGAGGCGACTGGTGATGGTTGCGGAGAGGATGGAGCCGTGATGTACATGTATAGTGATGATCATGCAATGGGATGGATTGTGAGACGGATGACGAGGATGAGACTGATGATGATAAGGAGAAGGAGACGGAGGACGGGGAGGAGGAGTTGGCTGGTGAGAAGCAGGACAAGGCGGAAGAGAGAGATGTGAGTAAGAAGTATGCGGTGTTTAGTCACTTGTCAAGTGAAAAAGTTGTTATCGAGTCCAGATTGTTTAATGTATGATGATTCTTACTTCTTTTTGCTTTGCAGTGCTAATTATGTTACTCAGTTGAAGGTTTTAGAAGCTGCCTTTCTTCGTTCGCACAACCCTCCTTTTTGTAAGCAAAATAGGCACGTAGTTGCTCTAAAGTTGTTCTCGTAGGTAGTCATCTTAGTGAAAACTGGATTACAGCGCAGAATCTGAGGGAGGTCCAGCTGATATGCATTAGGTCCTACCTTCTTGGTGACTGGATATGGGCCGAACCACTAAGGGCATAGCTTAGCTGTTCCGAGCTTCTGCAGTAAGGTGAAAGTCCTTACAATTATACCAACACCATATCACCCACATTCAGGTCGCTGTGCACTCTTCCTCGATCGCCATAGTATGCCTGTCTAGCTTGGGCGGCGACCATAGCGTCCTTAGCGATTTTATGATCGTCTTCCTGCGTCTGAATCCAGTTCCCAAAGCTCTCTCCTGCCAAATTCACACAGTGGTAACAGAGTGTCCCAATTGTCCTGCTTGTGATTAACAAACACCCTGAGTATCTTCAACAATTCTATTTACTCTTTCTGTTTGCCCATCAGTCTGAACGATAAGGTTGTGCCCAACTGCTCAAATAGCTCCCGAAAAATGCAGACGTAAATCTGGGGACGCGATCACAAACTATCGTGGAGCTCATACCGTACAATCTAATTTTTTTCTGCGAATATAATAATAAAAAAACTAATCAATATAGCTTTTCGGCTGTTTCCTTTTCATGTATATAATCTTCTCCTTCTTTTACCATGGTTGGCTTTCACCCACATCTTCCCGTTTTGGCTGCTATCGGAAGCCATAAGATGTTCAATAAATAAAATAAAATAAAATATAGAGACCAACCGAGCCCTTAGCGTCAATTTTAGAAGTAGTGGTGACTAAGTGAACGCCTTTAGTTAGCCAATCTACGAACTTGTAGATAGCATTAAAACCTCTAGGGGCCTCAGGCAACCCAACAATGAAATTCATTGAAATATCCTTCCAAGGCCTATCTGGTATTGGGAGGGCTTGAAGCAAACCAGACCTAGGCTGTCCACCCTTGGTACGCTGACAAATGCCATATGATTTTGACAAGCCTCTTGATATCAAGACCCATTTTGGGCCAGTAAAACAACTGGCGTAACCTGAAATATGTCCTGTGGCACAGTGCTGATGCTCTTGGATAATCTGCAGCCGCACCTCTCACATGGGAACACAAAGACAATTGTTAGGAGAAGCACGCAAGTATAGATATTGGGACTGTTCATTCCAGTAATAGCGCTCATATAGACTATCAACCGGATCACTTTGCATCCTCTGAATTATTGGGTACAGCTGCTCGTCATGTTGGTAGGATTCGGAAATTGTTTTGGATACACTCTCATTGCCTTCAAGTGCAAATCCTATAGCGTTCATATGCAATTCAGGTAGGATAGGTGGACAATCACTCACTACATTTCTACTAGAACTGGAATTGTCACGCAGATCAGGGTGTCGTGAGAGACCATCAGCAATGTATTTTCCTTGCCAGGCTTATGCTTTGCTATGTAATCGTAGTCCGCAAGGAATTCAGCCCATCTTGCTTCTCGTTTCCTGAGGTTCTGTTTGGGTGTTGTTGAGATAAACAACTGCCATGTTGTCTGTTCAGACTTCAAACTGCTGAAACAAATAGATCCTCCAGGATTGCAATGCAAACACCACTGCCAAAGTTTCCCATTCTGCTGCCGTGTAATTCTGTTCTGCGTGCGACAGTTTGCGACTGATATACGCTACAGGATGCCATTTCTCTTCCAGGTTATCCAGCTGAAGAAGGACGCCTGCTACACACTGTATAGCGAAATCCCTTGCATCGGTTACCACTCTGAACGGCTTCTGTACACCTGCCAGCTTTAGCAGCGGTACACTCAGCAGAGTGTTTTGCAGAGTATCAAAGGCATCCTGGCGGGCAGGGCTCCACTCGAACCGGGCATGCTTGCCGGTAATTTCCTCTAAATGGTCCTGATATCGTGGAATAATGGTCAATAAATCTGCGGAAATAATTCGCAAACCCAAGGAATTATCTTGCTTCTGTTGTTACCGTCGTGGGGTGTTGCCATGCCTTCACTGCTTCGAGCTTATCACTGTAATATCAGGATCTGGTGAGATGCTTAGACCATTGATGTGGTGCCCTAAAAACAGCACTTCCCCTACAGCAAACTCGCACTTTTAAAAGTATTGTTTCTATGGGTTCAAGATGGTCTTGCCAGGTTCTACTGAAGATCAGAATGTCGTCGAGAAACACCACTATAATTACTTGCGTAAGTGGGGTCGGAATATATCTTTCATCAGGGCCTGGAAGGTGGTCGGAGCATTTGTGAAACCAAATCCCATTACACGAAACTGGCAATGACGAAGTGGGGCGTTTATAGCCGGCTTTGGTACATCTTCTTGACGGGTTCTGATTGTACAGTGCATGTACATGTACTAACGTTTTGTTCGGGACTTGGTACATGTATTCTTCTGTACCGATACTATTTTTTTTCTTTTTTTTCTTCGGCCAGTCGGCTACTATCATTTTCGTCTTGGGGGTTAGACAAGGGGAAGTAGCCATGTAGTGCCGATACTATCCTGTACGTACTGTACATGATCGCGATCAGGCAAACTAACTAAATAATATATTATGCTGATCTACCAGTGCTGTAACAAGAGGCTACGAGTTTTGACTACCGTTCTGATACATTGTATGTGTGTTCACACTGAGTGTGACTTGTACACGCGTAGCGAAAAGGAAACGCATCTCGCACGTAAAATGTCCCGAACGGCTGTGGTTAGCAGACTAAGCTGGACTATAATTTATTTAAAAAAATCGACTTTGATTGGATATCTGACATGTAACAATACAACAATGTCATTGTTACTTGTGCTTCAATCTTCCCACGTCCACCGCGCTTTCTAATCACCACTCACCATACTATGTCTTGGAAACGAGCTCAGGTCGGCCAAACTGCCTGGTCGGGCGTATCCGAAAATCAAACCTGGGTGTGACGCTGAGCGAGCATATGGAGAGTTTTGTATGTTACATAATGTCATTCATCGTCTCATCTACAAGCGTGGGCTTATAACCCCATCAATCAAGCCCCGGGCTCATCCACGTCGCAGACAGCAAAACAACATCGTAGTCTCGAACGAAGCTCGAAGTTTGCTTCCATTGTACGCTGTAGCTAGGACTCAAGATCTCTTTTTCTTTGTAGATTTCCAGGCCACCCAGTTAGTGTCCCGAAACGTCGTTCAAGACATGTCCATGTACGAGACGAAGAGCAGAGTAAATTAATATTAGTTAATAGCCTTTGGCCGAGTCTCACGCGAACCGTGAATTTTTTTTTTTTTTTTTTTTAATAGTTCTTCTGACTTTGTTTCGAAGGAGCCCCATTTCCTCAAAACGATCCAACTTGCGTGGTAAGCAAGATTGTCCGCCCTGGTACTCGATGAAGATGTCTCGAGGTCAGCATCACATATTCCTGCTCCTGCCTGTGGCTGCGATAATATGTCTGGCTTACTGGGTACAGGGGTCCTCTGCACGATTATGCACGATCCAAAGAAGGTACAGTATTTAAACTGCTAGACGAAGATGGAACATTGGTTGAGTTGTCCAGAACTGCACGCTCTGTCAAGCGTGTGCGAACATAATATATATTATTATCATGATAATATGGACGCGTGTTGTCTCGCCGTATGATAATGCTCTCCACCTTTTCGCGTGGTTATGTGTTCTGTGCCCAGTCGTACAGTGCAGTCGTGTAGAGAAGTGGTGGAACAATACCAGGAGGCGTACTACACAGTCTGTTGGAATTGGGATTTCTCTTGCACACTATATCGGTAAGATCCTTGGAGCTGTGTATAGCTGTGAATGTATCTATAGTAGCCTACCTCGGAAGGAAGGCTGTTCGCTCACTGAAGCCTGGAGCTTGCGGTTGGTGAGGTAGCTTCTGACTCTGAGTCAGGCAAGATGAGGTCCCTAGATCCCATACCCCTCTCAGCTTTGTACAGGACACCAAGGTGCGACACTTTGTCGAGCGCCCCAACAAGATCCACTGCCAGGACGTGCACAAGCCCTCCACTGTTGCCAACTTAAAACTCGGCTCCATTCATGTTGAGCTAGGAGGAGGTCAGTTGTGCCAAATCCAGAGCGGAAGGCAAGAGAAAATCTGAGGGGCACATCAAGGGCACTTGCCGTTTTCTTTTCTTGCGACGGTTGTACATGGTCTGTGGAGTCGTGGACATATTCGTGCGCGTGTATGCTCGTGATAATGAATATGCTCGTATGTGTGCATGCGATTGTGGCAACATTTACATGTCTACTGCTGCACAGGGTAAAATACCGAAAGGTACCACGGTGTACATCGGTGTCGCAAAACTACACGGCTCACCAGTGCTGTGATGGCTATGTTGCACAGGGCGGCAACAGCAGTGTATGTGTTCCTGGTAAGTCCGGCATCCATGTAGTAATAGAATTGTGCAAGTAACTCTTCGTCTGATCTAGTGTTGCTCGAACGGTGGGGCGAGGTTTGGTGGGAAATATTTTTCTCCCCAGAGTTTCCGATTTTTTCCTAATTGAGTTTACCCCCCCCCCCCCCCACCCCACATCCTCTTACTATGGAGCATAGCGGCTGGCCAGTATGGTCACCAACATGTCCTGTTAGGACCTAGTCTCCAGGGTCTCAGATAAGGCAGGTCCAGGCGATGATCGCCAGGGAAATAATTTCTCAAACCTTGGTCGAAATTCAAGCGACGCTGAAGATCGTGAATTTAGGTACAAACGTAGAATCTCCGACCTTGCAGGTTACTTGTATGTACATGTACGTATATTTTTCTTTGAATTCGCAAGTACACACGGGATACAAGCCCAAGTACATGGAAGCGAATGTGATAATGGGGTTAATTAAAGAAAGGGACGTAGGAAGGAGGAGGAAGGTAGCCGAAAGCAACAGGGAGGAAAGTTCAGGAGCACAATTAACAATTGCACAAAGACGAGAGTACCTGAGATCGAGGGTACCTGTGGAGCGATACAATCTGCCAATTAATGAGCCAAAAAATGTAATAATTATGTGGCGCGATATAAATAAATTCATCTCGGATGGTGAGCCAATTAAGTTCCTTGTCAGGTTTGTGCCATTTTGTTGCACTCGCTGACTGTATAAGATCTGGTTACGGCGGTGGACAGTTAGTCATAACTCGTAACATTTTGTCCTTCTCCTTTTTCACTATGATATAAATAAAATAAAATAATACCGGTCAAACGCTAAAAAAAACACAAGAAAAGGAGATCATAAGCCAATACGCGCTAAACTGCCCTTGAATTATAATGAAGGGGGGAAACCCGGAGCTCAAGAAAATTATATCATACAAAGTCATAACAAGAATTCAACTGAATGAAGAGTAGCACAGGCAAACATTTCCTGACAACAAGAGGGACTGTTACTACAGCCATGGCAGTAGTGGCAACTACAACAACAACAACAACAACAACAACAACAACAACAACAACAACAACAACAATAACAACAACAACAACAACAACAACAACAACAACCACGACGACAACAGCAGCAACAACAACAGCAATAAGTGAGGATAGAGATTTGAAACAACAACAACAACAACAACAACAACAACAACAACAACAACAACAACAACAACAACAACAACAACAACAACAACAACAACAACAACAACAACAACAACAACAACAACAACAACAACAACAACAACAACAACAACGACAACATCAACAACAACATCAAGATTCACTGTTGTATTGAAGAACAAAAGAAATAATATACATGTAGCAAGCAAGGTTAGGAGGACACAATGACAGCACTAAGATATCAAGGTGTGCTTTCCCACGAAAGTTTGAAAAAAAGAGGATAACGTTATGAGAACTTAATACTGCATGTGTGTATCACCAACAACAACGTGAGAATGATTTGTTTCTCATTGTTACCCAAATAAATACTTGTATTGTTGTCCAGTAAAATTTTCAGGGACCTAAAAAGGGAATAAAAGAAACAGGGTGATAAAACACATATGGCTTCACAGAAAAGGCAACAACCTTTCCACGATACACCAAAGAACATCATGTGGCTAATTTTAGAGTAATACTACTATCTTTCTGCACTCTTTTAGCTGCAACAGATAACCATGGCGAGAGTCAAAACGGAACGGACGATGGAGGGAGTGGTGACGTGAGTAGTGAAAAAAAAGGTGAGCTGAGTGATGATGTTAGTGATGGTAAAGGTGTGTGTGAGAGTCGGGAGCGCGTGCGTACGTTATGTGGTAGCAAATCCTCAGGGTACAGTTATTTGGTCTCTAGTCCTGATTGTTGCCGTACATGTTCTGATTCATGCTTTTCTGTTTTATACTGTGCTCATCATGATTATCCGTTGCAGTTAAATGTGTGTTAGAAACTAGAAACTATTTGTCAGCGCATTCGCAAGCCCAATTTGTGTGTCCAGAAAGAGGGTATTAGTGCTGTGAAAAAAGTGTTCAAATGATGTTTTATGCAACAATCAAATGATGCAGTCATCATAGCCAAAACGAAAGCTGACTGCCTTGACAAGTTATTTGTCAGAAATAGCAGCCTTGGCGATGACGACCTCAGTGCTGAAAACCTTCATAGGCCCAGGGCTGAATAAGCCCGGGCTGATTTTTCTCATAAAAACGGTACCTCAGAATATGATATGTTTGGCAATCCAAACATAATACTCCACTGTAACAAAATATCAGATCAAATTGCTTTATTTGGTTTCCAGTTACTATGACAGACATTTTAGGTTATTAAAACAAGAAATGCAAGTTGGTAAACACGACAAATTCAATGGCAAGCTGGTACCAGTGCATTGCTGCCTTCTTCGTATAACCATTGCTGTCATTGTCATTATCGCTAGATCGGAGAGGACCTGTTTGTTTATCTGCTCATATTTATTATCACCACTGTACTGATTTTGAAGAGTAATGGTGGGGAAAAAGGGACACACCGGATTTACCAGTGGCTTGTGTGCGACATGTGCTAGTTTTATTCCTCCAACACTATCTCTATTATGGATGTCCATACACACACCGACATGCACATGCACGGGATGATATCTATCTTTTTTGTTGATTTTTGTGTGTGTGCCTGCTTGTCTCAATATGCAGAATGTAGGAAAGTCTGCCACAATGGCGGGTCGTGCTCATCACCCAACAAATGCACATGTGCCACTGGCTGGAAAGGAAAAAAGTGCCAGACATGTAAGTTTCCAATTTGATACATTGTGTCTCTATATGATTATCGGCATGCGTGATAACTTCCAACGACTGTTTGCACAAAGGACTCTGTGATCTCTGTACTCGGGCAACATCCCATTGGCAGATTTCTCCTTGATTAACAATGGATACATTGGTGCTGGTTAAGAGGCAGCCAAACAACATACTCGCAATACGCCTATCAATTATTGTATTATGTGTGCTCATTGCTTTCTGCAGCTGTGTGCAGCAGCCCATGTTTGAATGGTGGGAGGTGTACTGCACCGTCTACATGCAGTTGTGAAGCAGGGTACACAGGGTCTACGTGTGGTGATGGTAAGGTATCCTCCGCCAACGACTATGACGGGGTAGAGAGGGGAAAAGTTGAAGTTTTTCACACGATATAGACTACTGATGAGCTCAGAACTGCTCCCTGCAACTTTTCTCTCTTTCCATTGTCATCATAACATTGGGCATGATTGCCCGTTAGCCTTGCAATGTAAAAGAAAACACTTTCATAAAAAATAAAAGCTTTAATACATGGAATGTTTAACTCGGATACTGAGCCAGTAAATAGAAATAAAATGGAAGAAATCACATGGAAACGAGTTGTGAAGTAACTATCCACGACTGTAACAAGATAATAAGTAGTCTTGTGACAGTCGTGGATAGTTGCTTCATAACTTGTTTCCATGCGATTTCTTCTATTTTATTTATATCGGATGTGTTGGGCTTCCAGAAGTAATATTGATATTGTGGCTCATCCCGACAAGGCTAGTTGGACTTCAAGTTGGACTTTCATGTCCTTGTGATGACTGATTAGATAAGGCGAGATTTGTTTGGCCACTTAAGCAGATGCTTACCTCTCTATCATCTATCATCTTTTGCTGCAGCTATATGCAGCAGCCCGTGCTTGAATGGTGGGAGATGTACTGCACCGTCTACATGCAGTTGTGCAGCAGGGTACACTGGATCTACGTGTGGTGATGGTAAGATATCCTGTTACTACAATTGCTACGCTACAGACGCGGTAGGGTGGGTGGGGGGGGGGGGGTTAGGGTGTGTGTGTGGGGAGAAGTTGCAGTTCGTCACGCTACTAGTATGCAGAATACTGGTAAGCTCAGATCTACTCTCTGCAAACACATTGCAACCACATCCATGTCATTGTTTTAATCTATGACTCGAGGGATTGTTTGCGCTATTAATCTTATCTCACTCTCGCGTATGCCATACGACAGAAGACCGAAACATTTAGTTCTAGGATAGTGTGGATGTTACCATGTATATTTTTAATGAATACTTATAGTATTAACTAATTATGCCAATTTTAGTGCATCACAATGACAGTTGAGAGTGAGAGGAAGGCGCCAGTCAAAAGTTCTCAAAACAGTTATCACAAGCAACGTGCACTAAGTCCGCGTTATTTGCGCGTACTAGTATTGGAGTTAATGTACATCTTTACTACTAAGCCGGTCCTGTGTAAGCAGCAGAAAACCATCACCACTGCGAGGACACTTCCGTAGACGATATTGATAGCTGTTATTCCTTCAGACAGCTGTTTCGGAAAAAGATAATAAGAATGGTGCTGGCTGGATAAGAAACAGCCAAACATAGTCGCAATACGCCTATCAATTATTGTATTGTGTGTGCTCATTACCTTCTGCAGCTGTGTGCACCAGCCCATGTTTGAATGGTGGGAGGTGTACTGCACCGTCTACATGCAGTTGTGCAGCAGGGTACACTGGATCTACGTGTGGTGATGGTAAGGTATTAGGCCTCGACCACATAATTATGCTTGCGCATATTTCGGCACATTTTGTGAGACAGTTCATATAATTATGGCATATTGGGCGACAAAGGGAATACGGTATTGGAATGAAGCCAGCATATAATTCAAATGTTCTGAAGAAAATGAGGACAAAACATTCATATTATGGACAAAATGCGTTCAAAAATGCCTTTTACGGAAGAATTTGGAATTTCACTGACATGTACTATAGTAGGCAAGGGTCAAGCATACATGTATACCCCAGCCATACTATTCCGCATGCGTTTTGATTTGCACCATAAGCATGATAGCCGTGAAGCCAATGAATATTCCAAGGTTGTAATTTTACTGAAATTATCTACACTTTCTGCTTATGCCGAGCATATTTTGGCATATTTGGCATTCTTTTCGCATACCTTGCTAAGCCTTTGGCATATTATGGACGTTTTCCCTGATATGCGATGAGCATAATTATGCTCTTTTTTAGCATATTTGGTCGAGGCCTATAAGGTATCCTCCGACAACTACTTTAGACGGGGTAGGGTGGGGAAAAGTTGAAGTTTGTCACATGATACAGAATAGTGATGAGCTCAGAACTGCTCCCTGCAACTTTTCTCTCTTTCCATAGTCATCATAACATTGGGCATCATTAACCGTTAAACTTGCAATGTAAAAGAAAACACTTTAACAAAAAATGATAGCTTATAGGGATGTTTAACTCGGATACTGAGCCAGCAAATAGGAATACAATAGAAGAAATCACATGGAAACGAGTTATGAAGCAACTATCCACTACTGCAACAAGATAATAAGTAGTCTTGTCAAAGTCATGCATAGTTGCTTCATAACTTGTTTCCATGTGATTTCTTCCACTTTAATTATAATTATTGGATGTGTTGGGCTTCCAGAAGTAATATTGATATTGTGGCTCATCCCGACAAGGCTAGTTGAACTTCACATGGCAATCTCCAGACAACTAGTTAGTCAGTCCTTTTGATAGCACCAACGCATATGGCCGATTGGTTTGCAGGCCTGCCTGCGAATCGTGAGGTCCTGAGTTCAAGACCCGCGCTGGAAGCAGGGAGCGTGTAAAAAGTCTTTTTACGCGTGTTGAACTGCGCCGACACCGACGGTCAACTGGGTACTCACAGCTCGGAGTGAGAATAACAAGAATGCAGTTTACAAGGTTATGGGCCGTTACACGCCCGATTGGTTGAGAGACTAACCTCCTAGATCCTCTCCCCTGACTCAATTGCAAGGTCTGCATTCACCACTAAGGTGACCAGGCATAGTGGTGGCCTGCGGATGCGAAGGCTAGTTTGTGTGTTTCTGAACATTCAAGCGATGCCGACGCGGATCCCGCGAATATTATTTATATTATTATTTTGATGACTCATTAGTTAAGGCGAGATTTAGTTGGACACTTAACCAGATACCTCTCTATCATCTTTGGCTGCAGCTGTGTGCACCAGCCCGTGCTTGAATGGTGGGAGGTGTACTGCACCGTCTACATGCAGTTGTGCAGCAGGGTACACTGGGTCTACATGTGGTGATGGTAAGGTATCCTGTGACTACAATTGCTACAGACGGGGTAGGGTGGAGAGAAGGGTGGAGAGAAATAGCAGTTCCTCACGCTACTGGTATGCAGAATACTGGTGAGCTCAGAACTACTCACTGCAAAAACATTGGAAACACATCCATGTCATTGTTTTAGCCTATGACTCGAGGGATTGTTTGCGCAATTAATGTTATCTCACTCTCGCGTATGCCACACGCCAGAAGACCAAATCATGTTAGTTCTAGGATAGTGTGGAGGTTACCATGTATATTTGCAATGAATACGTATAGTACTAATTATGCCAACTTCAGTGCAACACAATGACAGTCGAGAGTGAGAGAAAGGTGCCAGTCAAAAGGTCTCAAAACAGTTATCACAAGCAACGTGCACGAAGTCAGCATTATTTGCGTGAATTGGAGTTAATTTACATCTTTACTACTAAGCCGGTCCTGTGTAAGCGGCAGAAAACGTTGTTGACTAGCACCTTTATCTCTCGCTCTAAGATCTCATTGTGTTGCACTGAATTTGGCATTAAACTTCGCTGCATTTTGAATACTAATTATGGAAGATAATTAAGATAATACACGTCAGCGATGTTGTCGCACACTGGAGATAACATAGGACAGTAAAGATCTAGTCAAACCAGTAAGGGGAGATATCAAACGGACAAACCTAACATAAGCCTGTTCAGCCGTGATGTAGGCAGGGTGTAGGCAAGTCTGTCACAATTACGGGTGGTGCTCATCCCCAAACAAACACCTGCACCAGTACCAGTGCTGCTGGCTGGACAGGAACTACAAGTTAGACTAAGTTTCCAGTATGATAATATTATATTGTGTCTTTCGCTGATTATCAGCATGCATGATAACTTCCAACGATAATAACAATGTGTTGAGTGTCACCTCCACCACTACATTGCCCTCCCAGCCGACTAGACCCTCCTGCACACAACCATCACCACTGCGAGGACACTTCCGTAGACGATATTGATAGCTTTTATTCCTTCAGACAGCTGTTTCGTAACAAGATAATAGGAATGGTGCTGGATAAGAGGCAGTCAAACATAGTCGCAATACGCCTATCAATTATTGTATTGTGTGTGCTCATTACCTTCTGCAGCTGTGTGCACCAGCCCGTGCTTGAATGGTGGGAGGTGTACTGCACCGTCTACATGCAGTTGTACAGCAGGGTACATTGGATCTACGTGTGGTGATGGTAAGGTATCCTCCGACAACTACTATAGACGGGGTAGGGTGGCGAAAAGTTGAAGTTGGTCACATGATACAGAATAGTGGTGAGGTGAGAACTACTCACTGCAAACACATTCCAACCACATCCAGGTCATCGGTCTAACATATGCCTTGAGAGAATGCTTGAGCTAATTATCTTACCTCACTCTCACGTATGCCACACGCCAGAAGGCCAAACCATTAATTTTTGTTCTAGGATAGTGTGGATGTGACCATGTAGAATAGTAATGAATACTTCTATTACTGATTATGTCAACATTAGTGCAACACAATGACAGCTGAGAGTGAGAGATAGAGGTGTTAACCAAAACAATTATCACAGGCAACGTTCAAGAAGTCCGCAATTTTCTTGCGCGTATCAGAGCCAGTTTACATCTTTACTACTAAGCCGCTCTTGTGTAAGCAGAAGAAAACGTTTGTTGACTAGCACCTTTATCTCTCATTCCCAGCTCTCATTGTGCTGCACTAAAGTTGGCATTGAACTTCACTGCATGTTTAATACTAATCATGGAAAATAATTATGAAGATGCACATCAGCGATGTCACGAGTAGTAGCACAATGGAGACCTAGTAAGACCAGTAAGGGGAGATATAAAACGTAATCTTGTTCAGCCGTGATGTAGGCAGGGTATAAGCAAGTCTGTTACAACAGAGGATGGTGCCCATCACCAAATACCTGCACCAGTGCCACTGGCTGGACAGAAACTACATGCCAGATGCGTTATCTTGCAATCAAGTTGATAATTGTGTCTGTGGATGATTATCATGCATGAGAAGGTGTACTGATAATTTCCAACGAATGTTTGCACTCGGGCCTGTCCCATCGCTGTCCCATTGGCAGATTTCTCCTAGATGAACAATGGTCCTGAATACGAGGCAGCCAAAAAGAAGCATAATCGCAACATGCCTACTTCTTCAGAAGTTCATGTAGTATCAATAATTATTGTATTGTGTGTGCTCATTGCCTTCTGCAGCTGTGTGCACCAGCCCGTGCTTGAATGGTGGGAGGTGTACTGCACCGTCTACATGCAGTTGTGCAGCAGGGTACACCGGGTCTACGTGTGGTGATGGTAAGGTATCCTCCGACAACTACTATAGACGGGGTAGGGTTGGGGGGAAGTTGAAGTTTGTCACATTATTGCAGAATAGTGGTGAGCTTTTTTTTACTCCCCTCCCATTGACAATCACGTATTAGTTTTCATGAGCTAAGAGAATTGATTTGACAACAGTATCACAACACATTCATCTATACTGGATTGTTTTGGTGATTTTTGTCCATCTGCCCATCCATCTGCATTTACCTTCCCGCATGGCATGGTTTTGTTTGTCACTGCAGATATTGATGAATGCGTTACTGGTGCTGCAGGTTGTGAACACGGTTGTCAGAATACTTTTGGCCGGTATGTTGCAATGCAACGTGTGCGTTTACCCATTCTATTTCTGTTGTTGGCACAGGTTCCAGTGTCCAACGAGAAAGAGATAACGGATTTTTGAGTTCCCTTAACTTGGCCTAACCTGAAACAGAAAGTCTGATATTATTACACAATTGGTGAGAAGACCCACTTTTAGCAAAGTTCTCATGTGTGTTTGTTTACACATGTTTGACGCATACAGATACACCTGTGGCTGTAGAAGGGGATATATGCTGATGAATGATAATCACACGTGTGCAGGTGAGTGAGCAGGGCCATCAGTTTTGTGTTATGTACAGAAGACGCGTACTTTATATGTTGTACTTCGAAGTAGTTGAAAAATAATGGAATTCCTGCCTATTGAATGGTATTGACTATTGAAGTATATTTTAGTCTGGACTTGGTTGTCTAGGTTTAGTGCATGCATGTATGCATCCTCATACTACCAAAGCATGATGTAGAGTCATGTTTTTTTTCTTTGCATCTCCTTTCAACCTGCAATAATGTTATGCTCCAATCCATGCGGCAGACATTCCCGAGTGTTCCCGTGACAACGGCGGTTGTGAGCACCAGTGCATCGAGGAGCTGGGCTCATACCGATGCCAGTGCAATGCCGGGTATGCCGCCGATCGCTACAACTCCACTCGGTGCCATGATATTGACGAATGCAATCCGGTGAGCGACTCCTGCAGCCCTGCTCCAGCCACCACAAAATAGCAGACCATCTTTCTACAGAGACCACCCACACACCCGAACTTTCTCTATCCAGTGCGAGGATAATGTGAAGCGTACAAGCAGAAACTGTCCAACAATGGGTTAATTGCTGTAGATGACAGGTCAGCTGCATTAGGAAACATCTATCCATAGAGACCAGCTGTCCATAGATACCAGCTGTTCATAGATACCAGCTGTCCATAGATACAACTTTTACTTAGATACTAGTACCACTTTTCCCTGGAGGCCACCTTTCTTTAGAGGAAGCCTGTCTCACAAACCACCTGTCTTAAGAGAGAGAGAGAGAGACAGAGCCTGCCTTTGGAGACCACCTGCATTGTATTAAGAGAGAGCCTGCCTTTGGAGACCACCTACATTGTATATCTTTTAGAGACCACCTCATTTACAGACCACCTCATTTAGAGACCACTATCTATACGGACAACAGGTGTTGGTGCGGCAGAGGATAAACCTGTCTTAAGAGAGAGAGCCTGGCTTTGGAGACCACCTACATTGTATATCTTTTAGAGACCACCTCATTCAGAGACCACCTCTTTTAGAGACCACTAGTCTATCTATTGGGACAACAGGTGTTGGTGCGGCAGAGAATAAACTGTTGGCCACACAGTAGGGATAAAGACCATAATTATGCCTAATGACTTTTCAAAATTTTCCATTGGTTGATGTTCGGAAGTCTCCAGGGTAAGCCTTCATTATTGTGTACTACTGAAGTAGTTTGTAACTACTTCAGTAGTATACAAATCATGCTGAATACGTCAATCGAGGTGTCTCTTACCTCATGCATGCATACGCAGACACAAAAACACTCGATGACATGCATGTGTGCACACTCAATCATGCTTACGTGCATCTGTGGATGCTATCCGTACAGGATCGCAATCATTTGATCGCAGAGTCGTCAGTGCCTGCGCGATCCCCGTGCGAGCACCGCTGTCGGAATCGTGAAGGTACCTACCGCTGTCGCTGCTCAGCACTATTCAAGTTACGGGATGACAAACACAAATGTGAAAGTAAGATCAAAAAAGTATTCTTTCTAGACAAGTGTGGTATATATGTACATGATTAACATAGATTTTAAACTCGGATGTTGAGCCAAGAATAAATGTAGAAAGAAAAGGACATATGGATACGAGTTAAGAGTAACTCTCCATCACTGTAACCAGATACTGTATACAGTCAGAAAGTGCAATAACTAGGCACAAAACGGCTCGTTTTCATTGCGCTTACCTTCCCCTCAGTCTTTGGTCTCTCCATAACCTTGAACCTTCCGAGTTGGAAGGCTGTTGGTTAGCGCTACGGAGATGTGTTGAAGCTAGGTGTCAGGACGTCGAATGTCTCAGTAATCTGTCAGTTTTGTGCCTAGTTGTTGCACTCTCTGACTGTATATAGTATCTGGTTACAGTGATGGAGAGTTACTCTTAACTCGTATCCATATGTCCTTTTCCTTTCTACATTAATAAAGATAGCAATATTTACGATATTTTTCCAGACGTTTCGTTGTTCTGAACAACATCGTCAGTGGATAAAGAAAGACCTGCCGCTCATAGATATAGGAAGCTGTCTTTGTCTACATCTGCCAAAACGCGCTCATTTTGAATAATGAGCCACTGTGATTTCAAAGATGTAAGTAACACGAGACTCCGGAGTACATGGGATGTGTGGTTTTATACATTCTATTAGTACATTTGTAGTGTGCGCAGATAGAGAGAGAGTGAGAGAGAGAGAGAGAGAGAGAGAGAGAGAGAGAGAGAGAGAGAGAGAGAGAGAGAGAGAGAGAGAGAGAGAGAGAGAGAGAGAGAGAGAGAGAGAGAGAGAGAGAGAGAGAGAGAGAGAGAGAGAGAGAGAGAGAGAGAGAGAGAGAGAGAGAGAGAGAGAGAGGGGAGAAATACATGTAGGCAGAGAAAGAGAGATTAATGGCACTGCTACATGCCACAAGTGCACTCCGAACATACATGATTGGGCATTGTAGACACTTGCGCGACCGATTCTAGCATTCTGAAATACAATCATGTACACTGTGAAGTAGCATTCAATGTACTGGAAATAAGGTTGACAGTTCAGAATTTGCGCTCCCCAGCACATACATTACCCTCGTGTTTCAGCTCTGTCTCTGATAGTGAGCACTTTCTGCAGCTCGGGGATCAACGCATTTTACCCTCATGTTTCTGTATGTATTCGAAAAAATGAAACGTCAAGTTCAACCTGTGATAGTACGTCATCATTATTATGGATAACTAGGATAAGCAGGTCTATGGCAAATAGGTATGTCTTCATGTTTGTCCCCTCTTTGACTCGATCTTTCCATTTCTCTCTCCCTGGTCCTCGACCATGTTTCTTACCCATGTAACATCCGCCTTGAACATTCTAGGATGCATCACATGCAAGACTTTCGCTGAGCTCAAAGAAACAGTTGACCGACTACTGCTCGAGGTGAGTAAGGAGTCACTATTGTTGAATGCATCTTGAGTCAGGTGGCTGATGTCGCACGGAGTTCCCTCACCTTTGTCTTTGTGTGAAGTTCATGTTGTGGAAACGTCCGTCTGCATTCTGTGTGATAAAGCGCTTCCGACATTACTAGTAGTCCCGAGCTTTGAACAGAGTAAGAATTACACACTGTACTGTGTATCTCCCATCATGCAGGTGTCTGTATTGAAACAGGAAGTCTCTCACCTACGACCTGACTCACCCAGTGGTAAGTGCAATGCATGTGTGGCCGTCCATATCACACACACACACACACACACGCACACACACACACACACTCACACACTCACACGCTCACACACACACACACACACACACACACTCATATACACACACCGTGATACATACACTATGTCTCTCTGTCTCTCTCTTTCTCTCTCACATGCACACACAAACACACGCACACACACACACACATACACAAACCGCGATACACACTCTGCATCTCTCTCTCTCTTTCTCTCTCTCTCTCTCTCTCTCTCTCTCTCTCTCTCTCTCTCTCTCTCTTTCTCTCTCTCTCTCTCTCTCTCTCTCTCTCTCTCTCTCTCTCTCTCTCACACACACACACACACACACACACACACACACACACACATACACACACAAACATACACACACATACACGTATTCTTATTGCACGGGACAAGCGTTTGTGTACTGGCATATGCCTTCTAGATTATGTCAAAGGCATTCGACAAGGTTCGTCATGAACGGCTACTCCAGGACCTATTCGATACCGGCATAACAGGGACAGCCCTAAAGTGGTTTTCCGCCTATCTGTCGGGCCGTACTCAGCGTATCTGTATTGGACGGGATCAGAGTGCCATTTCTGCACCATCCTGTGGCGTGCCACAAGGTTCTGTTCTAGGACCGATCCTTTTCAGTATCTACACCCCAGTCGATGCGCCAGATTTGAAAAATCACTTCGGAACACCGAGTTCTATTTTTCAGATGCACCCTTTTTGTGCACTTTTCTCAAGGCATTCTCAACATTTGATCGTTTCATGTAAATACACTGCTTGCCAGTCTCACGCTTTCTCTGAGTTAGTCGTCGCACTCGAGGATTCAGTAGTCGCCTTTCACCTTTTTCTGTTATGAGTTCTTCAAGAACGGCGAAATTCTGTAGTTTGGTGTCGCTGCACGTCGGTTTGTCCCTTTTCCTTTTTTCGTCGAAATTTCGTCGCCCGACCTATAATTTCGTGCCACCGAATTAACCAGGCATTTCGCTGCTTCTATGCTGGACGTATCGAAAGAGTAAGTCTTTGCGACATTGGAGTGGAAGTTATGTTCTGGACGAAAAAAGGGCATGCCTCTGGTGACGTGATTTCTAACTAGTGTTTTTACGGGTATTTTCCATGCATGTGTGCACAGATATGTCAGCGGCAGGAAGACCCAGCAATGCCACAAGCATACATACTTGACGACCATGTGGCCCAGAATGCAGCATTTGGGCCAAAGTGCCATCTGACAAGCGATTTACACGTGGCTCAATGCTGTCAGATTGGCAAAAGCTACACACATGCACATCCATCACGTCAGACCAATGCATTTGTTGGAAGTGCGTCAAAGCACTACGACGCCAAGTATGCACAGCAGCGAAAGAAAATAAGCCACCAGTCTGCCAAAGTACATGCAATGTACATGATTGCAGCGCAGCGGCTTCAGTACACTGTCCTGCAGACAAACTGCACGTGCACAGTCTGAAAGAACAGTGCGAACCGGTCCAGTGCCCGGACCATAAGTTACCAGCAGTGTGTGGGCCATGCAACATGTGCTTGGTGTAAGTCGAGGCTCACACCAGAACACAGGACAGGTGGAAGTCACCAAACTTTCAACTTGCAGAGCATGTGTTGCGCAGCATGCAAAACGTCAGGATTTCAGACGAGAGTCGATTTTGTAGACGCTGCTACCAAAAGCAAATTGACATGCTCCCTGCCGACAGTGCACCAAGCACATACCACCAATTGCGAAGCATCATCTCTCAATACAGCACGGAAGGTGCCGAGAGTGATCTTCCCAATATAGTCATTGCCGCTGAAGCACATGAATTGCTGGACAAGGGTGCCATATTGTTGACGACAGTGCACGATTTGTATACAGAGACTGTGCACCCAACTGCTGACCCCAAGCCAGCGGCATACGTGCTCGGCAAATTGAAGTTGGCCCTGGAGCACCACTTGCACGTCATTCCACCCAAGTCGCAGAAGGATGGCACATTGCTGCTACGCAATGGATGTAATGCTAAGTAGGCACTACATAGGATCCTTTCTGCAGAGCGTAAACACAAGATAGAGCAAACACCAACAAAGCTGGAAGACCTCACTCTGCCATGCTCACAGCACAATTGATAGCCAGCAACCGAATAATGCAGTTATGTACTTCACAAGTACACAACATGAGAACCCATTTACACCAAGGTCTAATATCGGGCAATGCCATTATGCTCCCAGCACGCGGCACAAGAAAATGATAGAGCTTCGCCGGCATTGCCTTGATTTTGTCGTAATGTGATGGTGTGTGCGTGTGTGGTGTGTGTGTGTGTGTGTGTGTGTGTGTGTTCACTTCAAGGTACCAGTGCATCTATTGTCTGCTTCTATCAAAGCAGCGTGCTGTCTATACTGGTTACCCCAGCAAGTGTAGGATGTGCATGGATAACTGCCTTGGCCGTTTTATACCGATGTACTCCGTGTGGTGTAGATCAGGTGTGCATTGGTGGTCGATTCACGTGGCTTCGCCAGTTGTGTGGATTAGACAGTTATCTGGCGCAAGTCTTGATCTGTCTCATTCAGATATTGTTCGCTATCGTTTCTACAAGAGAAAATCTGTGGGTGTACATCCAGTGCATTTGCAGATTTGCGTGCTTCTCTTGCGACGGGCGTATACATGGTGGTACATGGTGTGTGTGTGTGTGTGTGTGTGTGTGTGTGTGTGTGTGTGTGTGTTTGTGTCGGCCGTTGGGCGGTTCAATAGCCAATTGAGTTATCTTTCCAAGATTCCTTTTGAGTCTCTCTCCCGGGGAGACCCACGTGACCAGTTTTGGCAGTGAGCAACAAGTACAAGCACAAGTGTGTGTGTGTGTGTGTGTGTGTGTGTGTGTGTGTGTGTGTTTGTGTGTGTGTGTGTGTGTGTGTGTGTGTGTGTGTGTGTGTGTGTGTGTACATTACATATTGCCCTATCAAAAATATATAAATAATATGGTGAGCCAATGTAAGGCATGGATAAAAAGAATAAGGACAAAATGTTACGAGTTATGACTAACTGTCCACCATGTACCAATGTAGCTAGATCATATACAGTCGGCGAGTACGACAAAAAGGCACAAACTGACAGGGAATACTAAGACATACAACGACCAAATATTATTCAAGTTAATTTTGACCTGGAAAGAAATGTCTATAATTTCGTGCCGTCGGATTAACCAAGCATGCAACGAAAGGAAAGGTATATACGCTTAGACATATATTATTAGGCAATTATCTGCACCAACCTGCATTCCTGCCAAAGCATCATGTCGGGTGTGGTGGGTCGGCATTCCAACGTATCTCCACACACAAGGAAAATCGTGAAGCGAGAATTCCCTCGTCTGCAACTGGCAAAGTCTTCACTTGACACTGAAGTTGAGATTTCTAGATACCTAGCTAATAGGAGCAGACTTCAGGACATTTGTGGCACTCGGGAATCGTCAGTTCGATCCGTACAGGGTTGGTTAGACACAATAAATATAGCAAATTTCATTGACTGACATCTTCATCTTTACCAACACAGTTCACCACCTAAACTTTCGCGCGAAAAAAATAAAAAGACCCACTCAGCTGGCTTGGCGCATCGACTGCACCCGCGAAGTTCCAACCATAGCTAACCAGTCTTCATCAGTTCAATTCGCCGATGACTCCGCCAGTTCCGCCAGTTCTGCGCCAGCATGATCCCGCACAGTGACACCCTTAGTATCTAGAGTACCAAACGTCCTGTTTGATGATCAGCTGGCTTAGTTTTTCTCCACCTCTATCCTAATTACATCAGTCCCCAATTTCATTTATTACTGCTTTCTATCTGCATTCGCCACCTTTTCATTGGGCAGATCTGCCCGTTTGGTTTGCGAATTAAAATAAACACAACAACAAACAACAACAACACACACACACACACACACACACACACACACACACACACACACACACACACACACACACACACACACACACACACAATTATTATGTACACACACACCAGCATTTTTTATGTGAATCGTTGTAAAAATTGGCTGCTTTTGATAGAGGACATTTCCTCTCTTTTCTGTATTATTCTCTCCAGCTCCACCATCCAATTGAGATGTTCGATATTACCCATGCCCGCCTGAGACACTGGATATATAGCAGGCAGAGGCGGAAGGACATTGCCAATGAGTTGGCTTACGCGGAGCACAATCCCTAAAACACCCTAGATGCAGTTCACAGAGTTTGCGTTAGCTCGATTTCGTCAAGCAGTCACAGGTTACAAATGCAATCTCTCACATCCATGATCCACCTTATATTAAGAGTCACACTTCATCTCTAACCAATCCCATTAGCCGAAATTTGTCCGTAATTCCTCCTTTTACCAATTTGGCACTTCTCCCGTAGAGCAATTCTAAGTATCCTGATGCATGTTGTATGTCAGGTCCACTTCCTAAGTAACATTTACCTCGACGCTTCCAGTACTACACACGTTGCTTGTATGTGCACTTCTCACACCTTCCCTAGCGCCTAGGGCTCTATTTTGTCACAAGCTGGCGTCTGTTCTAACTATGTATTTTATTCTCTGCATGTAGAATCAGACCTTACCGATCCCATCATCCCATCTCCCTTCACAGCGTGTAGCCGTAGATCTACAGCGTGAGGACACAGCCTGTTGGGGCGGGGAGCAGTGTAACAAGACCAAGCCACGGGTGTGTGTTCGTGATCACCCGTAGCCCAATTGGCAGTGCACTCTCCGGAGAAAACAGGGGTGCTGGGTTAGAATCCCGCTCGTGGGTCCTTCTTTTGCGAAAATCAGAGCTTGAAAACCCGCTACTTTCAAAACGAATATTGTGGCTAATTATCCCTGTGGCAGGACTCTTCTGCAGGCCCAGAAGTCAGGTTGACTTTTGGACCATTTCTGGTACGCCACTGTATAAGTAACTTACTTTCAAATTCTCGTTCAAATTCTTATTATTTTCTTCTCATTGTTTTACAAAGTCGATCTACAACACAATTTGTGACAAAGGAACCCTATTGGCAAATTTGAGCGAAATCGGACAGATCAACTTGTACACATACACTGTTAGGAGATCCCCCCGGCCCGATAGGCTATGCCTTTGGGAAATCCTTTAAATAATAAAATTTTATCAAATAAATATCACTTCTACTTTGAAGTTATTTTCTCCCTATGCAAATCGCAACTCCTGTTTTGAGTTGTTTTTCTTCTCTCTTTTTCTTTCCCTACTAGTTGCTGTTACACTCACAGATATACAGCATTCCCTCACTAGTGGGACCATTGTTATTAGGCTAGGGCCTGTTTTGGACTTCCCACTCTAAATAAAGAATACAAACAAACAAACAAACAAACAAACAAACAAGTACAGTGTACAGTGTACATGTCAAAAATAGCGATAACATGATTTCGATAGTAACCAATGACAAATGGATACAAGGGCTAACCAAAACTGGCTACTAAACAATCAGCTCAAGCGATAACATAGCATGACACTGACCTACGGTAATGACGTTCTACTGCTTATCAGCATTTTAACAAAAACAAAAAAGGTACAAATACACAAAGGAACAATAGGAGTGAATTCCACTTGCGTCATAGAGAATCCGATTCCAAAATACATCTGGATAACATACATACCTGGGAGTGGTGGGAGAAACAATTCATTCCATGCCAGAACAAGGTTTCTTAATAGATGTAAATCTTTGAAACAGTATGATGGAAATAATACCAAGAAGGTAGAGCAAGGTTTCATTGTGACTCATGTTTCAAGCTTATGCGGTTATAAGGCAAAATCAATCTCAAATCAAATGGGGGAAATGGGCTCTTATTGCAAAGGAAAGTAAATGAAGTGATGGGGGGGGGGGCATAGCCGATCAGGTGGGAGCATCACTGTGTTGATCTTACTATGGTGCTAGGAAGATGGTGGGCAGCACACATACACCCACCCACAACCACACCGTGAATAAAATCACGTCGGCCCGGATGAAATGGGAGCACGGTTAATGTTCCTAGCATGCGGAGAACAATCGCCCTCACCCTTATCGACATCCCTAGATGTACAATGTCATGTAGGATCTGCAATTTCATACTCGGAGTGTTCTGTCTCGACATGAGCCGCTTCGGCATACAGGGCATCAGAGGGCCTTGAGGAGTGCTGAAGACTAAGTGAGTATGCACCGTTGTCCATCATCTGAGACATTCTGTTTCCGACTCCTCTGGTCCCTCTGTTACCACACACGCATGCATTCTCATCTTGAACAGCACGACTGAGTGAGTATGCACAATTGTCTTTCATCTGAGGAGCACGACTGGAGTACGCACAATTGTCCTCCATCAGAGGAGCACGAGTGAGTGAGTATGCACAATTGTCCTCCATCTGAGGAGCACGACCGAGTGAGTATGCACAATTGTCCTCTATCTGAGCCGTTTCGTTTACAACTGGTCCGGTGCTGCCGCTACAAACACGTATATTCTCATCTTGGACAGCACAGGTAAATGGCACTCCATGATCAGGATGCCTGGATGGTGTGCTTGCAGTAAGTGCCTTCCTCTTCCGGTAAACAAATACTGAGATTATTGCGATGACTATGGCGACAGGTGCTGCTACTGCGGGAATGACGATTGGTGTGAGGGACGATGAAGATTCAGGTGCTGTTTCTGCAGGCACAGTGCATAGACAAGAAGGAAAAAAGGTCTCTTCAGTTAAATACAAGATATGGAATGTCAGGGTATGAGCATCATTCGAAAAGGTGTTTGCTCCCCACACTGGAGCTCGCGCTTTTCCGTCGAGTTGCCTGGACACTTGACTTGACCTCTCGTTTGCTCTGGCTGGCAGTCGTGAGTCAGTCAACTGTCAAGTCACTTAATCATCGAGGAAGTCGCTACCTCTATCATGAGCATCATGCAGATCAAAACTTGACGAATTGTGTATGCAGCTCTTCATCGACTCGTGTCCTTTGTGTCCTGGGTCCGAGGCACTGAGTGGGCGTGCTTCCGTTACAGGCGAAATGTCACTTCAATATTCCGAAAAAATCATGACATTATCATCTGTCACTCGTCACTCTTGCAGTTTGTTTGACTGCTACAAGTGCTAATGCAGTAAGTGATGTACAGGTTCACAATCTCTGGGTTGTGAGCTCCTGGGTATGGTAATCGGCCGTGAAGTTAGTGAACATGTTCCAACGTAAATCTGTGAAACACGTGCACAATATCCCGAGATATGCAAAGAAATCTCGAAGACAATGATACGAGCAAAGGCATTTATCTTACAAGTATCTTTGCTTGAATCGCGGTCCTGTCGAGTATTCAGACCCCAGAGCGAATGCTATAGTTTCTCACCCTCGATATCCACGGTAATTGTGCACTTGAAACCTGTCCATCCAGCCGTGCATGTACATGTACCATTGGCTGGATCACAAGTGGCGCCATTGTAGCACTCGCATGTTTGACCGCAGCGGAAGCCAAATGTTCCTTGCTTGCATACTGTGCAGACAAAGCAGGATTAGAGTATCCATTGATATCTTCGTTCTGACAGCATATCATGCGGTATTACTGAAGTACTTGGAGCAAGGATGTATGTGCACCAGGTAAATACGATCCAGAAAACAAACAAATAGACCAGTAGTCATCATATCGTGGCCTCATCTATTACAAACTCTCGAAGTACATAAATGCTACAGTAGGCCGCCATCATGCTTGAGATAATGTTCATGGTGGCAGATGCAGTGCGTGTTGGCGGGGGTGAAATGGCAAGTCTCAGAACCATTGCCCCACAATGGTGCACCTCGTTAGCTGCATCCATTTGAGGGCCGGACTAGATGTTTGTAATGTGTGTATGTGCGTGTGTGTGGGGGGGGGGGGGGGGAGGGATTATCCACTCATTATCCACTGGATGCAGACATCAAAACCTTTCGACTGTGGGGTGGTGATACATAAGGCTCTGCAACTTCATCGCCATGACTATTGCTTTAAACAAAGTGCCAAACTAGTGGTTGTGATATTTCGAAGAATGACATCATCGTGTAGTTCATATAGTATTTATATATGCTGATCACGCGTAGTCAAAACCAGTCCTTGGACACAACATCCGAACAATGGCCGTAGAGAAAGATGCAAACAATGACGACTCTAGCCTTCGTTGTGCTCACCAATGCTAACTTTTAGCCGGCACTGTTTGACTCACTTTCATCGCAGATCGTGCCAGTTCTTCCTGGTCGACAAATGCAACTGCCGGTGGTCGGAGCGCAGCCACCCTCTCCTTGTACACAGTCACATGTCTTGGTGCAAAACTCTCCCCACCTGTCAATGGGGCAAACTGCGGACATACGCAAACATGCACAAGACAAAGTGTAGGCCACGCACAACACTCATATTACTATTGAAAGAGAAAAGCATACACAGAACTGCTGTGAAGGGAAACCACCCAAACACGTATGGACTCATACAAAAAATGCATTCAGGTGGATCCAGAAATCAACATTGCCATGACTATGGATTGGTTGTGATGTAGCACTTTCAAGCCCGATATTGAACATCTTCCATCGTCATGGTAAACAGGCGTGCATGCCTTTTTGTATTGCTGCCCAAAAGTTGAACATAACGTTACATTGGAGTAAATGGAAATGTTTGCAAAAGGAACATAATTATAAGGGTAGCGGACTTAGAAACAGACAGGATTGGAAATGCTATGTAACACCTGTGGGGAAAGAGTACTCACTTGTATTGCAATCATCACCCTTCCATCCCGCTTTGCAGCTACAGTTTCCCAAGGTCGGCTCACACGCAGCACCATTCTTGCACACACAAGACTCCCGGCACATCAAGCCAAACTGACCAGGCCCACAGGCTGCAAGACAACAACCAAGTGCAGAAGATCATAGTGAGTGCCTCTCACATGCCACTAACTCAGCCACTCCAGGCCATTGAGCTCAGTTAAAATCGACTATGGAGATCTATGAATATGCGGCACATATCATCACTTCCACTAGCAATGTTGGTTTGGTTTGTTTCTTCCCTCATAGCCACCTTGTCATTGGGAAGAAATTCCCGTCTGGAATTTTGCGAAGTAAAACAATGTATTAAAGAAAAACAAAAACAAAAAACGTGTAGACTTTGGGTACAATAGTGAATTTCGGGGTACTATATTCTGCTCACATTTCCACTGTGGCAAAGCTCAGCTTCTACCAGAGCATTGGTGGTTCAGTGGTAGAATCCTCGCCTGCCACGCGGGGGGCCCGGGTTCGATTCCCGGCCAATGCATCTTTTTTTTCATCGTTTTGTGAGGGCGCGGGAAAGCAGTCAAGGTTAAATTTTACTTTTTGGGTGTCGTGAGTCATTCATATCCACGGATGTCAAGAACAATTATATTTGTTACCAGTAAGTACTGGGTCAATTTTTTTACCAGGCGTGGGCCATCCCCTGATTTCATAGGTGCAAAACATTTTACGTTTTTCATTCACTATTTTTTTTATACATTGTTCTTGTACACACACAAAAAAGGACTGTATCAATAAAACAGTGAATAAATACTCGTATCAAGAAAGGAGACTGAAAACTTCACCTACACCCTAATGGATGTCACAGGGCATCTTGGGAAAAGTGGCTTGCATCTCGACCCAATGACACAATACCTTGAATGATCCCCTCAGTAAACATTCATACGTAGAGAGCATACTCGTAGGTGGCCCCTATCAAAAGCCCTTGTATTATTGGTTTGAGTCCTAATGCATGGTGATACTTTGAAAAAAATTTAAATCAAAAACTCACATATCTGGCCTCAAAGTTTAATAATTTCCATGTCTGTTCCAAACACTCACATGCGCTGCAGTTGGGTGGCCTGCTTCCAATGGGGCAAGCGCACTTTCCAGTGTCCGGATAACATAGACCACCGGAATGAGCCGGACAAGTCAGCGATGAACATGACGATGTACAGTTGGCACCCCATTGTCCGAGCTGACAAACTGTACAGCAAGCCCACAAAGAGAAATTTTTGACACGTACCACTGCGATGGTGTAAACACTGGAGTATTCACAAAGAGTAAACGGAGGCTTGTTTCCCAAACAATGTAGAAAAATGTAGCAAGTTGTTTGGTGTGACCCTAGATTTGACATCAAAAATCGATCACTGATTGCTTTTTAGCACGATACTCGGAATCATAACAAAAAACTGACCTGCTCCATTTCTTCACAATGTACAACAAATCATGCATGTTTGTGCAGCATGCACAATCATAACAGCATTATCTACCCATGCGTCTTTCATCTGCTACACATCCCTCAAAGCAACAGGCTCTCGAGGTTAATTCAGCTTGTTTCCACATGGACAGCAGAATGCAAAAAGGTGTTCTTCCAGTCAACACGATAGGTATGACAGAAGTCAACATTGTAAAAAATATATCGAGGCCATGAAATATGCAGCATACTGCATTTAGCACCAATCATACATACATGTATATCAGTCTGCCATTACCGTGAAACATCAATGATAGCATACCTCCACGGGTGGTGCACTATGGCTAGGGCACTAGATAGCCAAGGTCAAATTACTGCGAGGTTGTCAAAGAAAGTGCTTTATTTCCCAAAGTATGGTTCTGATGATGGGTGACTGGCCCGAAACGTCATAGTTTATCGACATCACTAATAAAAGAATTTTCCATCCAGCGCATGCGCCAAGAGTGAATAGCAACTGAATAGAGCGGTTGTCAGTTGACACCCCCCCCCCCCCCTTTATTTATGATACATAGAGGACAGTATGATACTGAGCAGCTGCACAGTACCTTCCTCGCAGTTGACGCCCGTCCAGCCGGACACGGTGGAGCAGTTGCACACTCCAGTGACCGGATCACACAGTGCGCCGTTCTCACACAGACATGCCTGTGCACAGTTCAGACCGTACGCTGTGCCATTGCACGGCAACTCACAACCGACACCTGTACAAACAACAGTACACAGTTTTAAGACTTTCAGGACATTGAGGGCTAAATGTTTCTAATACATGTACTAAGACATAGGGGAAGCTCACAAGAAAAAAGATACCCTAAACTTGGGTAAATTCTGATGAATGGCAAGCTTTGAATATCCCAGTGAATATTGGAAAATTCTCTCCGATACTTGGGTGCATTGCTCATAGTTTGAAGTGCAGGGCACACGTCATTATAACTCTATCCATTCTGCAACCTGTACCATACATCTATACACCTGTGTAGCCTTGCTACTTTATGACACGTTATTTGTATACACATAAATAGTACACCGTAGGAATGCATGGATAGCTGTGCGCATACTCGCACTGCCTTGTCTTCTTCTGCTCCTTGTGAGTATACGAGTTACACCTGCACTCAAACACACACACACATGCACACACATGCACACACATACACAAACTATGAACCAAACACACACCTTGCCATCCCGCATCGCAGTTGCAGACCCCAGTGACGTGGTGGCAGCCATTTTGTGCCCGGCCGTTGCACTGGCAATCCAGGGAACAGTTAAGTCCATGCTTGTTGGCCTATAACGACAGTACCGCACACATGGTGAGATTCACCAACTATTCTTTTTTATCTGGGATACTGAACCAACGAGAGAGCTTGGAAGCTCAGGGCCCTACGCTATGCTTTTTTGCCTTGAGGACCTAGACACAAAAAAAGTATAAATAAATAAATTTCACGGTTCGCGTGAGACTCGGCTGGAAGCCGAGTTTTCCGCATCCGCCGTGGGAACGCCACCACCCTCTAGGATCAAAGGCGCAGATGCAGCGCCTAAACGGTGGGAGGTGAGTAGATCAGACCCACCACCAAGTGGTCAAAGACCGAAGTCCCATTAGCTGCATCCATGTTACCCTCGTGCCAGGCCACGAGTTCCCAATTAACTGTGGGTCGCAGCACGGCTGGAAAAATTCCTTTCGCTTCCAAGCAGGACTTGAACCTGGTACCCTCTGTTTCTCAATCATGGTCTTAGACCATCCCACTTTGCCTAGGGATGTTATAAATTCTTTAAAAAAATCCTTTTTTAAGACATAACCTGGGATTCGAACCCGCACTATCGCGCGCCCTGCATGCATCCCCCCGATACACTTCGCATACATACTAATTCTTCCAAGTTGTTTCACATTGTGATCTTGCATTTGAAAGCCCTATTTGAATATGCATTGTGGCCAGCCGTCTTTGATGGCACGGTACGGTAGGGGATAGGTACGGGACAGGTACGATCGAGGGTAATACGACACCGTCTCCCATACCGTACCGTACCATTAAACACAGCTGGCCACATACAGCTGCCCGCAATATTTAAATAGGGCTTTCAAACGCAAGATAATAACGTGAAGCAACTTGGAAGAATGGGTATGAATGCGAAGTGTATGGGGGAATGCATGTAGGGCGATAGTGCGGGTTCGAATCCCAGGATTTGCCTGAAATAATTAGGAAAAATTGAAAAATTTATAACATCCTATGCTTTTTTGCCGTCAGATACGGATAGCGCCAGGGGTGACACAAACAAACAAACAAACAAACACACAAATACCAAATTAAAGCTGTGTGGACCCTGGCTAGCGCCAGACGTTACTGAAGTAACGTCTTCTGCATAGCTACGGGAATAAATACAATTAAAATGGAAGAAATCACATGGAAACCAGTTATGAAGCAACTAGCCACGACTGGAACAAGATAATAAGCAGTCAGAAAGTGCGATAGCAGGGCACAAAACTGACATGTTACTGGAGGTGTGTGAGAGGTGTCTGAGAGGTGTGTGAGAGCTAGGTCTCAGGTCGTTGAATGTCTCAGTAACATGTCAGTTTTGTGCCCCATTATCGCACTTTCTGACTGCTTATTATCTTGTTACAGTCGTGGCTAGTTGCTTCATAACTCGTTTCCATGTGATTTCTTCTACTTTAGTTTCTAGATAAACAATACGAGAGAGTGGTAGAGACTTCAGCAATGATTCAATAGGAAAGAGAAAGGTGCTTTCCTGCCAACTTCACAATACTGTACGAATTATCTGTAAGAGGGTATTGAACATCTATGGAATATACAAGCATATCACAGGGAGGAGAGGCTGCATTATGCTCAACGGACAACACTACTACAGACTCAGTGGTCCAAACAGCAACCAGGGCTACATAATTATAGTGATCAGGAACCTGGGAGGGAGATACACATCTATCAAAGATGACATGCGTGTCCAGTGAAAATCCAATAGGACTTGAAAGTGATGACGTCAAAAACGGCCAGGGAGTAGTAAGTTGACATCAGATTTCTATTTTGGATCCACTAAGGTGTGACTTTGCTATTGCATCAGTATGTGGGTGCATAGCAACCCACTCATGTCGTATGCAGGGGTGACTTTTACTTCGCCACCAGTTGTAACCCCACCCCCAGTAGCCAAATCAGTCAGTTTCACTGGTTACATCACCTTGCTGTGAGTAAGACGGCTTGAACTGTGCTTGGATCCATACAAAAACTGGATCCAAGTGGATCCAATTTTTGAATTTTTGAAATTGTTGCTATGCTGTGACGTAGCACTTTCAAGCCCTATAGACGAAGTGAAAAGCATTGTACCGTGGTATTGGTATGTAGTAGCTGGTCCACTTTCTATCAAATAATGCAACTAACTCCTATGAGTACATACCGGACAAGGCTGGTCACACACGCCGCCAATCCAACCATCCGTACACGTGCATGCACCGGTGACGGGATGACACGCCGCTCCGTTCTGGCATGTGCACGGCAGCGCACACCACTGTCCGTACGCACCCTGCCCGCACACCTCCGAGCAGTTCTCCCCTTTCCAGCCGGGGGTGCAGACACAGGTACCGTTGCTGGCAGAGCATGCTGCACCGTTAATGCATGTACATGCCGTTGAGCAATTCAGTCCATACCAGCCAACAGGGCATGTTTGGTTGCAACTGCACGATATGGGTGACAACAATGACAGCAGCAGACGGATTTTTCGGGTCTTTGACCATTTTAGTGGGTCTGATTTCCTCGCCTCCTACCGCTTGAGGAGCTCCATCTGCGCCTTGAAGGGTGGTGGCGTTCCTATGGATGCGGAAAGCTCGGCCTCTAGCCGAGTCTGACACCAACTGTGAATTTATTTTTTTATTTTTTATGAGTTGGCCAGGTAAGTCTGAACCATCAATTACACGGTCTAGCCATTCAGTAATTTTTGTTTGTTGAATATTTCGCTATTGAGATCTCTGTGTGATCGAAAAAGCAGTACGAAGGATTTTAAATGCCTACGACAACCTGCATTCGTGTTGCTGGTGTGGTGACCGAGGTCCTGTGAATGAGGTTGGGAGGAGAGCGCAAGTGGCGAGGAGATTCCAGTAAATTAACGTGCACGGCAGTACAGGTATTCATAGCAAATAACACCCAATGTACAAAGTAACTCTTCGTGATGAGTTGAAATCTAATGCCATACTGTTTTCAATAAATTTAAAAACAAAACAAAAGTATGCCACACTGCTATTTTTTTGTGCAGATTATAGTACAGTACATTGAATGCGTAATGCTGCTGCATAGCCCCAAGTCTAAAGACTTGGCAACTTCACGCCTGCACCTGACTCTTGCACTATGATACCCCTCAGAATTTCCCACCTTGCTCCCCCTTATGTTCAGGCTGCCCGTTTTGGAGCCATCAGTTGCCTGATGATCGTAGTAGTACGTGAAAGAGTTGCGACACAGCTTCCAATCTCTCTTCTGTAATGATAATTACGAATTTATGGGGAAGAAAAGGATCAAGGAACTTCAAGTTACGCTATAATGACCACTAACACCACCAGGTATTTGACAATCAGCTCATGCGATAACATTGCACAACACTGACCAACGGTACTGACGTTCTGTAACTAACTGCAAGTCAGCTCTAGTACGTCTTTTGAATGCGCACTCCGACAACCTTTCAACTCGGAAGGTTCGAAGTTATCGTAATGACCCAGGAGGGGAAGGTGCACGCAACCAAGACAACTTCAAGCTGAAAGTCTCAGCTGTGAAGTACGCTGTCGGATGTACATGTACATTAATGGCGATACTACCAAGACCATCGCGGCTTTTTAGTTGCGCTATGGTAAAAGAGTGATCTGCTTTGATAGTTGTGACTGCGACTAAAGCTGTGTTCCCAACTGGCGCGTGGACGCGGTACGCTTGCAGTTCATGCGTTCCCAAACGCACGCTCAGGCTTTCACAAAAACAGCAATCCGAGTCGTATTTAGCGCGTGCGACACCTTCGAGTACTAATTTTTTGACCCCGCCAGTCAAAGTGACTAGCATGTACGCTGGCACGCGCCTGATACGCGCTGAATTTTTTTTTTTTTGCAGTACGTAATTACAGATACAAGACAGCCATGTACATACATGTACATGTGACATTACATGTGACATTAATATTAATTTTTATAAGCTCTTGACTTGTTAGAGAAGAGCTGGAGAGAAAAGAGAAACCAAGGAGGAGTCGAGGTGGACAAATTCCAACATGTTGGAATTTCCATTTCGGCGCGTTTCCGTACGCATGGCGCCCCAAAAGCCAGCAAAATACGCACAAACACGTGGTTTCACGCGTATACGCGCCAGTTGTGAACACAGCTTTAGTAATACTTGCATGTGAGCATGTGTTGATACTGGATTTTTCTATTTACCTCGAGCCTGCGCTGACTTTGGATTTTTCCATTCATCTTTCCAGATCACCGGCGTTATCATGGGTTGTTCAATAACGCTCTTTGAGCACCAAGACCATTGAATAATGCAGTCAAACCAAAATTACTAAGAAGTGAATTCAGAGATGGAAACTTTCAATGCAGTTGCCACTTTCTCGGAATAGCCAAGTCAATGTATGCGTATACCCTAAACGACTTGGATAGTCGTCTCTTCACTGTCATAATTATAGTGAATATCTAACCGCAAATCATGTCAATACTGTAAGGCAACAAATATTCAGCGCATATTTAATTTCGGCTATTTTAGGCCTGATCATATTCGGCCGAAAATTTGCTGCGGCCAAAATTTTGTTTTACAAGGTTCAGTATGACGGTAGTGTATACCGTAGTTCCGCGCATATAAGCCCATGGGCCTATATCCGGATATAAGCCCACCTCCGTTTATAGGCCCATGGGCTAATAAACAGACCCAAACACCGTAGTACAGCATGTCAGTGCAGACTACATTACCAGTACCGGTACCTACAGTGGGCGGACAACCGCGCACGGACTTGTACTTTTTCGCATGCCAGCTGCCTTAAAAATTCGAATATAGGCCCAGGGCTAAAAAACGAACCATTATTACTGATTTTTTTTCCCGGAAAATGCATTATTTCGTATATTAGCCCATGGGCTTATATGCGCGGAACTTTGGTACAGGCAGCAGCAGTATAGGCTGAAAACTGTTGCAGCCGAAATGTGTTCTCGCCCCGGGAGGCCGAAAATTTGTCGACTTACAGTAGCCGATTATAAGAGCTTACGTGTCACCAATGAAACCCAGGGCGCATCGACATGCTCCGGTGAACGGATCACAAGTGGCGTCGTTGTGGCATGTGCAGGCTGATGCGCAGTCTTGGCCGTAGGTCAGACGTGGGCAGTAGTAGGCACAGTCCATTCCAGAATAGCCGGCACTGCAATCACATTGACCTGTGAAGCGATCACAGCTGCAGCGGACAACAAACAGAGGAGTACGAGGAAGATTGTCAGTTAAAATTAAGCCTGCTAAAATTAAATATTTGGCATGAAAATGTAGTGGGAGAGATTTTAAAAGCAATAAAATGGATCGTAGTACATATGATGGTGCCTTGGGGTAATAGTTGAAGATATCATTAGCGTACGCAGGCTCAGCTGATGAGCATAAGAATCCCAAAAGTACTGTGTATTGAGCATGGAGTGATGCTTTCCTAAGGATTTTGTTCCCAGTGTGTGATGCCGTAGTCCTATGAATGGTGGTATGTCACTCTAGCCAGACCAACTATGTACATCTTACATATCAGTACTTGATTGGCTGCAGACACAGTCATTGCACGTTGTGTTGCTGCTGGCGTATTGCCATTCAGGACAGGCTGCATGCGAGAGGACAACACAAGTTAGTTGCACAACGACCAGTACACGTCTGAAGTGACGTTTGAGAATGTGTCTCCGCCCCAAACATTCCTTCATGCTACATGAAATCTGCTGTCGATCCCATTGTTCTCCACAAGACCATACAGTAAATCATGTCACTAACAACCACCCCTGGGTGCTGATGCAGGGAGACTTTTTCAAACTTGCGCTTGCATACTACGCAGAAGTTACAAAAGAAATGATGCCGTAGCTGGCATTTTACAACTTGTAATCTGCCCATATTTTCTGTCTTTGACCAATTTGTGGCGGGTCTGATCTACTCACCTCCCACCGCTTAGGAGCTGCATCTGCACCTTGATCTTAGAGGGCGGTGGCGTTCCTACTCATGCGGAAAACTCGGCTGGAAAGCCGAGTCTCACACGACCTGTGAATTTTTTTTAAATCTGCCCATCACATACCAATTAATTGACATGTAGATAGAGCACAACTCACGATATTGACATTGTGGACCCAGCCATCTTCCCACACATGTGCATGCTCCTGTCACATGATCACACACGGCATCATTCCTGCACAGGCATGCCTGGGAACAGCCGTCACCATAGGAACCCGTCGGACACGTCATGTTGCAAATATCGCTATGCCAACCAGGCTGGCAGGAACACGAGCCGTCGATAGAGGAGCAATTAACTTCGTTGATACACTCGCAGACCTCCATACAGCCTGTGCCATATGTTCCTTGAACACAGGTGTCTTGACATTCCGTTCCATTGAATCCTGGTGGACAACTGTGCAGTGAGGCAACACGACCACACCATGGAGCACAATACACAAGTATGCATATAGCAACATATAATATTTCAATGCTACATACTGTAGACTGCAAAACACATTTTATGGGCTGACCTTTGCAAGGGCTTACTTTGAACTGCATCAACTCTACATGCCATAAAAGCGGTAACCATTCGATTTAAAAGAAAACATATTGCTTTGTAATAACCTGGTCCAGGAAACCTTCATGAAATGTTCACCTTCAATATCCCACCAGAGGCACGTCAAAACTGCTATTAAAACATGCGTAGATCCAAAATGCTCATTAATGAAGGTTCTCTGGATCATGATCCGAAAAGGAAGGACATGGATATGCCCCATTTTGAAATCAAACTCTTCACCTGTCCTCTCTGCTATTTCTTACATGCATTCACCGATGAACTCATTGCATGCTCCACCGTTCAAGCAGACGTGCGGGCAGGCGTTCAAACAGTCGAACTGTCCGTTAGGTTTACGCGGACATGGCCGAGTGCACAGCAAGCCCGCCCAACCAATGCTGCAGTTGCATGAACCGTCGATGGGACTGCACGTAGAGTTTGCAGAGCACTGACATGCCTGCGAGCATTGATCACCGTACTGATCGGAGGGACATGTGTTTTCACAGCTAGTGAACGCAAACAAAAATAGGTACATAATTGAAAGGATCAGTCGGGGAAATTAACTGCCTGAAAAGAGAAAAACCGACAGACCCACCAGGACTCGAACCCGGGACCTTGCTTGTCATGAGCAATGCTCTTAACCACTGAGCTATGGGACCAGGCTGAACCTAGGAGCTGACAAGTGTTTCACTCCAAAGGCAGCTCACAACACGTGCCACACATACTGATGGCACTTGGGTCTTTTTCCATCCCCCAGGGGACCAACTACGGTCAGTTTCTGGAAACTACCAAAGGTGAAAGAAAGTGATTAATTTTGTAAAGGATTGGGAGAACTTCAAATACTTCAAGGTACATAATTAGCTAAAATACTCAGAAAAAGGACACTCTTCAGGCTCTTTAAAAACACCCCCACGACATTCAGGGTGCTCTAACAAGTTGCAAGCAATGGACGACTCATACTCATCAGCACTAACTAAGTAACAGTTGGACAATCAGAATGCACAGTGGACAAGTCAGATGTCAAATGCGTAGTCAGCTGTTCAGTACAGCTGCTGACTCCGCCAGCACCTTGAATGCCGCTATCACCGCCGTTGCCGATCTCGTCATCCGTCTAAATTCCATTCCGTTCGTTTCCACGTTACTGGTTGTTTTTCAAGTTGTTTATGTCCTCCAAGCTTGAGATCAAGCTTTTGTCACGTGTGTGTAGTGCGAAGTTGTTGAATGTTTTAGAAGCTGTGTACTAGTATATTGAACTGTATCCACACTAAGAAACCTGACTTACGTAAGCAGAAGCAGATTAAATTCACACTTAGTCTGTTATGCAGGTCGTCAACAACTTGTTAGTTATGTCCATTTGTTGTCTGTCTACTTTATTATACAGTAAAATCTGGTGAAAGCGACCTCTGTTTAACGACCACCTGCTCTTAAGGACCGTTTTTCCATGCACCGACAGTTCTACACACACAATGTGGGACCTGGTTCTAAAGACCACCTGGCTTTAAGGACCGCTCTTGCTTGCACCGTGGGGTGGTCGCTTAAACCAGGTTTTACTGTAATTATGACGTGGCAAAGGGTAAGTAAATCATTTGTGTACTTACTGCGTTCCAATGTACCCGGGAGCACATGTGCAGCCACCGGTGACCGGATCACACGTAGCACCGTTCTGACAGCGACACAGAGATGCACAGCCCGCACCGTACATGCCCGGTGAGCATGTCTCCGAGCACAGCGATCCCTGTGGCCCATTCAAACCAACACATGCAATACTATTTGGTCAGGGCTAACATATTTTTTCTAATTGTCCGCAAACTCCAACGCAGCCATTTACACATTTAGGAAACTTTACTTCTCAACTCCAAAAACGATCTCTTCACTGCGATTCAAATTCAAATTTACATTACACCAAATTCATCACTCTGATGATGGGCCAGGCCCAAAAATTTGGTGTAATGTAAATTTGGATTTGAATCGCAGTGAAGCGACCGTTTTTGGAGTTTGGAGTTGAGAAGTGAAGTTTCAAAAACATCAAAATAATTTGATTTGTGATCAACTTGCATTTTTTTGTTTTTTCCTGTCTACCCGTCTGCCCATCCACTGGACAACTTGCCTGGGCATGTGCCAGTCCAGCTGTGGGTGTACTAGTGTCTATCTATTTCTCGCTCACCTTGTACCCTGTTGTGCAATTGCAACTGCCATCCACTCCACTACAGGTCGCACCGTTCTGACAGGCGCAAGACAACGCACAGTTTTGACCGTAATGTCCACTGGCACACGGTGTGTCACATCTGAATACAAAGTGCAACATGAAATAGAGGTATATAATCCTTGGGCAGATCATCATTGATGAATAAATAAATAAATTTAACATGGGAAATTGTGGGCACTTATACGATCGATTACACCAACTAAACCAGATTTTGAGAAGTCAGACATGCACAATCTAGCACAAAACTGACAGGGAGTACTTAGACAATCCACGGCATGTAAATCGGCATGAAAATCTGGTTTAGTTGGTGGAATCGATCGCATAACTTGTGCCCACAATTTCCCATGTTACAATTTTTTCCTTGGCTCACCATCTGAGTCCTTAAGGGTGGAGACAAGAAACCTGATATCGAACGAAATATAGTGAGCGCACCCATACCACGATAACAATGGAACCATATTGAAGGATTTGATAAGCCGCAGGAGCTGCTACCGAGCTCTTTTGTTAGCACCGGTACTGCTTTGCGTCCCCTAGAAATTCTCCTTTGAGTTACGTTTGGGAAACACGACGCCGATTAAATGATGTAGTTGCTTTTGGAAAGGCATCAGTTTCAATTGCATCAGCAACTGACAAAGACCACGCTCTGCGATAATGGCACAAAAAAATCAATTTCAAAAGGGAATGACTGATATATAAGTAGGCGTGTCTTTTCATCCTTAGGCTGATGGCGAATCCGAACATTGATAAGGGTATTTTGAGCTGTGGCTGCTAGCTAGCTGGCGTCATCTGATTTCCGATCTATAGCTGACAGTATATGAATTTGTACCACTGTGAAGAAGAGTATAACCCCCCCCCCCCTCCCTGAGAGTTTGCAACGCTTGCATACCCTGCTGTCCTGACAGAATTTCAATGACACCATTCTTAACAGTAATGATGCAATGCTCCTGAGTCCTCACACGAGTGATTTACGATGTTTGTATGGGGTATCGACGCATCACACGTTGTTCCTTGAACTGATAATTTGCACAGGATAAAATGGTTGTTCGTCAAACACAGGTCCAGGATACGTCTGATAATACGAGTACACTGCGCATTGCATCACAAAAAAAGGACGCTAACTTGAAAATCTGTTGGGAAAGCACCCATAGTGGAGTTTCACACTATTATGAGTTCAGTACTCTTGCTATGAACAGGGCTTTACATACTTGTACTAGTACGCCATATCAGCATATGCACAGCTCAATGGAGATCAGTTCCAGTGCATCATTCGCTGCTGTCCATTGGCTGATCGACCCTACACTAACCTTGTTCCCATCCATCCTGGCTGACACGTGCACTGTCCGTTGATATGATCGCAGACTGCACCGTTCAGACACTGGCATGTCGAGACACAGTTCTGTCCGTAGTGAGCCCAGTCACAACGCTGGTTGCATGTAGTGCCCCTCCATCCTGGAGTACATGAACATACCTACGCCAAACCACAAACAAAGCACGCACGCAACCGTGCTAACATACAGGCACTCACATACACATCACATCAGAACGTGATCAATCTTTTCATACGTGACAACAGCTCCCGTCTCCCTGTCCAATAAATGCCTCAAGATGTACTTGCCCGTCTGAGTGTAGAGATGGATTCGACCTGGGAGCAGTGGCGACGAAAAACTTCTTCTTCAATACAATCAAATCTATCAGCATGATTAAGGCTGTATGCATTGAGTGCACTTGTATCAACAGTTACAAAAGCCTCGATGACATCATGCTTACCACTGTAGGGGAAAACTTGCTGCACGAGCCACCATTTAGACAGGGGCATGGTTTGCAGCCAACGCCATACGTTCCGGTTGGGCATACTGTGCACGGCAAGAAAGAACAAAGTAGAAGCATGTTTTTCATTCACGGTAGCATTCATGTCCTGGCTCCATGGAAATGCAATGGAAGCACGTGTTCAGCACTTGTGATTCTATTGCTCCTGTTGAGCGACCTAGTTGAAGCTCAGGTTGGTGCTTGCCAAGTGGCGTACACATTCATGAACAGGGATTAAATTCTATCCACAGAAATTGACCACACATTCATTGGCAAGGTCAACCCAATCCTATGGGACTGACATGTGTGTACAGTTCTGATGGTATGCCAATGTAACAGCAGCAAGCTATCATACGCCAACTAGGCACTGATAATGGCAGCGTTGTGTGGAGATAAATCACATACACGGGGGTTTTCACTTTAAATCACCACACATTACGGTTATGAACAGGAAGCCTGGACAACATCAGCATCGTTCAGCGTTCAGGGCTGACAGCACAGCCTTACCAGCATTGCATGTTGCGCCAGTGTATCCCGCTGCACAAGTACATGTGTTAGGTGCAATGCAGGCACCGCCATTCAAACATGGACTGGTGCACTCCGCTGCAACACACACAAACATGATGCATGTGAAGTTCACAACAGCCCATTTCCAAATTTCATGCCAACAGCTTTTCTGAGAACATTGCATGAGGATAGAAGAATTGCAGATATCAAATATATAGTAGGGTTTGTTTGGGCATGGCAAGTTGTTTCGTGAAGGGCTCAGAACAATTGGCAAAACCGCTAGAGATTCAGCCAGGCCTTTCCCTGTGTTTTTTTTAATTTTGGGAATTTCAATCAACAGCACAAGTTGAATGAACACACCATGAAGGCTTTATTGGATTTGTCACAAACAAAAAAAATGATGGAAATTATTAGCACAAAGCCTAATTGCCGTTGACTTGACAAAGTGCTCAACCCAAGAAGAGGAGCCTGTGACACAAGTTCACAATGACGGGGAACTTTGTTTTGTTGTAACTCAGAGTGTAGCTCAGAGTGTCGTGGCAATTGAAACAATCATCAGACAACGTAGTGGATGCGTAGAGCACCGAGGAGTATATTGAGATGTGCTAGAAAGCCTAGAATGTGATGGACACAGCAAGATAGGTGTGGCTGATCATACACTGTAGAGGTGGCATGATAATATAAATAACACTTTAGGTGCATGGGTGACACTCGGAGTGAGGCGCATGAGACCCAGCATGGGATCATGATGGGAAGAAGGGAGGAAGCCAATAATGATGGCGTGTCATACACACACACACACACACACACACACACACACATATACACATATACGCTACTCGTACACATACACACATGGGGCATGTGCACACAAAACATATACCGGTACACACATAAACATCACACACACACACACACACACACACACACACACACACACACACACACACACACACACAAACACACACACACGCACACACACACACCTACATCACACGCAAATGCAACACATCGCGCCAACACATTACGCACACACAAACACATGGACACACATCAACTCACATACACATCACCTTGATGAAAATGACAATGGGCAAAGAAAGAACTATGGTGGATATATGGCGATGATCTACAACAGGAAATGAAGTTCGTTCCTCCTACGTGGAAAAATCTTTCTGCCAAACTTGACACTTGACAGGTTCTGAAAGATTCGTTATTTTCTTTTACAGTAAAACCTGGTGTTGATCCGTTGAATACGCGTGTAAAGGTTTTTTTTATTACGACCAACGAAACAGGAGATATGCGCTCTAACTTAGAAGATTGCAATAAAATTTGAAATTTTCAAAATTTGGAGTACGCATCAGTGATTTTTTCGCAATCGGAAATTCACCAATTTCTCCATTTCCTATCATTCTAAGCCTGATTTTTTGGAAAATTCTGATAACACCATGCTTCCATCACTCACTGGTAATGGTTTGGTCACGAGGTGTAGCCGCCTACACGTTCGCATACGCGACCAGCAGGCCAGCTGAGCTTGGGCAAAAAATAAGTGTTTTTTGTGAAATTTGTGACAATTACCTTGTCAAAATTGCTGTCAGGAGCTGCTGGAGACGATAGGCCATGCAAAGCAACGACTGTCGTTCTAGAACACCCAAGAGTGTATTTCACGGCAATCAATTTGGTCATGAAGGTAGTGCAAGTGCGCCGGAAGAGCAGGCCGCCGCGGATCATGAAGAAGAGGCGATCGCCACTAGAAGCAGCAGTTCTGAGAAATAATTTTTAATTGCAATTCGACTTGGAATGTGGACATGGACAGCAGCTCCGAGTCAGGGAGCGATGCCGGTGATTCTGATCACCAATAAACTGGCCCAGCAGGTCCAAGTGATGGCTTCTCTGGCGTTGGGTATCGCTTTGTGAGCTTGGACCTCCTGCTCGCTGCCATTGCACTTTTTTGTGTGCGCAAGTCATGCAAGAGTGGCAATGTGATTGTGAAGGAGGGAAAACGCAGTAACCTGTCTGCGACAATTACTTTCTCATGTTCAGAGTGCCCTGCTGAAGTTTCTTTGTCCATGTCGCCCAAGCTCCCAGGATCTTTTTACGAGATAAATCGCAGTGTTCGCAATGCGCATGATTGGCCGCGGTCATCAAGCACTGGTATAATTATGTGCAGTGCTCAGTATGCCAACGCCAATGAGTCGAAGCAGGTTCTCTGGCCACCAGAATGCTCTATATTCTGCAGTAGAGGTAGTTGCTGAGAAAAGCATGGATGGTGCTGTGCAAGATGCTGTCGGCGGTGACGTGGCTGTTTCAGCGGATGGTACCCGGATGCGCCGCGGCTTTTCCTCACTCTATGGTGCTATGTCCGTTGTTGAATGGGAGACTAGCCAAGTCGCTAAGTCCGAGCCGGTATCAGCGGTAGTGGACGCCTGACAAACAAGCTCATTGACTCCTTGCAGAATTGGTATGGGAAGCCGATAAGAGAGAATAATGGTGCTATGCGGAAAGCTATTTGTGCCTCGCTTTGTCATCGTGCATCCACTGATGACAATCCCGCCATGAGTTCTGCCCAACTGATAGCTGGTGTGGCTACCACAAAGCTGCTGCTGACCAGCCTTACGAACACCACAACCCTATTCCAAAGCCTATCTACAAACTGATGGTGCCAGTGTATCGTGACCTTGCCGACAAGCAGCTGCTACTGAAGTGCGAGAAGGGTGCGACACAGAATCGCAATGAGTGTTTTAACAAGCTGGTATAGTCATATTTGCCTAAAACGGAGTAAACTCCGTTTTATAAACTCCGTTTTAGGCAAATATGATACTTGGATTGTTTTCTGCCTGCTTCTTGAATTGCTGATTTTGCGCATTTTACACTCCCGTATGAATGTTTTGGCCTCTGGTGAGATTCATGGAATTTCTCCTGGTGTTCTTAGGTTAGTGCCCTCCGAAGTGGACTATATAACCTCAATACACGATAATTGGTGTCTTTTCCAATTCAATGTGTTCCACCGGATTTTGTAAAGATCGGAAGGCCACATTGGTCAAGTCTGGCCACAGGCAGGGTCACACTTCTGATCTAGCTTTGTCGTGGCATTGTATCTGTGCTGTTTAAAGAAAGAGGACAGAAAATTTATTTACATTTCTTTGATGGATCTCGAAGTTATAAAGGAATCAATACAGATGTATGTGTTAATTAGTACACCATGTGTACGCTACCTTAAGCGACCACCCAACGGTGCAAGCAAAAGCGGTCGTTAAAGCCAGGTGGTCTTTAGAACCAGGTCCCAGTGTCTGTGTAGAACTGTCGGTGCATGGAAAAACGGTCGTTAAGAGCAGGTGGTCGCTAAACACAGAGGTCGCTTTCACCAGCTTTTACTGGATTATGTTCAAGTCTTGATTGAGAAACAGAGGGTACCAGGTTCAAGTCCTGCTTGGAAGCGGAAGGAATTTTTCCAGCCGTGCTGCGACCCACAGTTGGGATTTTGGTCTTTGACCACTTGGTGGTGGGTCTGATCTACTCACCTCCCACCGTTTAGGCGCTGCATCTGCGCCTTTGATCCTAGAGGGTGGTGGCGTTCCCACGACGGATGCGGAAAACTGGGCTTCCAGCCGAGTCTCACGCGAACCAAGAAATTTTAATTTGACTGCCCATCTATTTGAGTTTTGGGGTCAGCACTGTCTTCTCTCTGTGCCAGTTTTAGCACGGTATTAGAGTTAATGGCATCACAACTCAATGTTCTGAAACCGAACAAACCCAATGAAAGGGGGACATTATTGTTAGAGAAAGGTCATGCATCAAACCGGGCCAGGGGCGTAGCTGGTTTCCCTTTCAGGGGGGAGGGGGGGGGGGGGGGAGGGTGCATGGCTGCATATGTGTAGGATGGCAGGTGCATGCCATTCATGGTCATTATGTCCATGGAACCTAGGTCAACAATTTTAGGGGGGGGGGCACACGTGCCCCCTCCCCATGCCCGTGCCCCATGTGTGGCTACGCGCCTGCCCCATATGATTATAAGCAATAAGAAAGGATGGAGGATGTTACATACAATGTAGCTAATGTGAAGCCTTACGTGTTTGACAAGAACCGCCACTCCAGCCTGTAGCGCAGGTACAGTTGTTTGGTGATGAGCACCGCCCTTGGTTGTGGCACACTTGATTGCATACTTCGGGTTCAGACAGGCACACACACAAATACATACACACACACAAATACACACACACACGCATGTGCGTATACATACATCCTTCGATAAGTGATCCAATCCAACATATGCTGTACCTTACTTGTTGGTGATGTGTTGGTTTAGGGAAAGGCCCAACACATTGCATCTTCACATGCCCATACTACTTCCAGTGGTAGTCTGATCTAGTACACAATTTAAGCCATAGCATCAAGAGAGACTACATAAATGACTGGACCGTGAGATGACGGGATTAGCACGTTTCAGTGGCACTTGGAGCAGAGTTGATTTATACATATTTATTTTTATTTTTTCACCTTGTCATGTCCGTCCCTCCCTCTCTCATAACGGCCACCTTCACTTCCTTCTTTTCCCCAGGAGACTCCCTTTGATAGGCATCCATTTGCCTCTAGAGGATCCTTGAGAATATGATATCAACAACAACATGCATGCTACATCACTAGTCAGGAGTACGATTGGGACTAGCAGGTTCAGGCGATGATCAATATTGAGAGTTCCATATGCGGCCGATCATGTTTAAACATACTTCAATACAATGTCATACAGATCTGAAGATTTGAGGTCGAAATACACATTCTTTTCTTGGTACTATGGTCTTGTCTCTCAGGCACGTATGCACCCAGCACATATTGTTCATCCTACCTGGCACACATGTAGCGTTACTGCCCTGCGCAACATAGCCCGCACAGCAGAAGGTTTCCGTGTAGTACTGCGAGACATTCCTGCACAGTGTGGTCATGCGATACTTGTCCCTGTGGCGAATGGCACCAGGGAAATGTATACGCGTATGTATGCACACATGCACATAAATTGTCACACAGCATATACAAACCA